CATTTTTGCTGTTGAAATTCGCCCTGAAAATAATGAAAAGCTGTTTTTCCCATCATGTTTTCGAACCACAGTCATATATGAAAATTGATACTACAGACCAAAGCCACCAGATTCGTTTCGTAAAAATTACCATGGCAACGTACTTATATTTTATTATTACACATTGAAACCCCGCTGACTTTAACTCCACTAACACTTTTAATTTTAAACTTGAGGTGTTTAAACGGTTGCCCCGTTGGGTCAGCAATAAGCTTCCGGAGTTACAAAGCTGAAAGCTTGGGTTCGATTCCCCCAGGTGAATAGAACGCATATAGCCTATTATGTAGCTTTGTGCTAACAACCGGACTTTATAATTTTGAAGTCATAGTTCCATCTGCCGCTCCACACGTATTTATCTATACGCAAAATGAATGTTAAAATGATGTGAATGGTTTTGTCTTCATTATTTTTTTATTTGTATGAGAATGGTACGGAAATGTTAAAATTTATGAAGCTTCATCTCAAAAAGCATTTTCAAGATAATATTATGATTGATCTCAAAAAGCATTTTCAAGATAATATTATGATTGATCTCAAAAAAACATTTTCAAGATAATCTTATGATTTTTGTGTGTAAATCTCCTAAATTATTACGTAATTATGTTTAAATTAACAGTAATGAAACAAAACTTAAACTTAAAATTATGATAAGAATCACAGTATGTTTCCGATTTTTTTTTTACATTCATCTTAATTAGTCTATTACCGATCAGAAAATAAAGTTCTTTTGTAGGTACAGTGCCATTGTTACTAGAATATACTAAAATATGTTTAGTACAATAATTATATTAATGTGAATGTTTGGTTAACGATTCGTAAAATACAACCATAAAGACTTCCGTTTGGTAAGATCAAAAGACACGAAAATGTAAATAAAGTGTAAAGAAATGAAGCAGTTACAGGATATATCCGTTGAATTTAAAGAAATGAAGCAGTTACAGGATATAACCGTTGAATTTTATCACTTCTTTTCGTGAAACGATTACCTAAAGTGTTAGCGAATCCGGTCCTGTTAGAAACTGTTCGCCACATATCGTTAAAGACCTTTCACTTAAAAATAAAACCCAAAAAGATAGCTCACTTTTGTAACACGCAATTACTAAAGTTATTAATAAAGTCCACAATAACATAATAGGAAAAAACCGGGAAAAACTTAGCCTCCTTTCTGCAAAACCTGCAGATATCCACACATAAAAAAAAAAACAGAACATTGAAGAAATCTTACACGTAAGCTTCAAGTTATTTCAACTTCAACTTAGAATAGTAGTTTTTCAACATATTGTAATAAGTTTATTATATTCCTCTTTCTGATGTACAAAAAAAGGCATCTTTATAATTTAAATTTACCCCTCGAAATTAGTGAAATACAGACTTTAAGAATCAATTAATGTCAAAAGATTATTGTTCATTCACGTAACTCTTTATCTATCTAACATTATGTTGCAATTAGTTCCTGTTATAAGGGCAACCCAGTGGTTAGTGCTTTTGGACTAGTAAATGGACATAAGTAAATGCGCTTTGCACTTTGGGGCAGTGAGTACATTATAAGAATGACGGTCAAATCATACTATTCGACTTGACGAGTGTATCCCAGAAGATGGTTAAATTGAACAAAGTTTCTGTTATTTGCTAAAATGAGGTTTGTTATTGAAATATCGTGTACATTTAAAATATTCGCAAGTTGGGTGTTGATGAGATAAACTTGAATATATACTGTTGGGTAACTGTGGTGTTTTAGACGTTTCATAAAAATCTTTCAAAATATTAGACGACTCTCTAAGGGGAACTTTACATATGAAATAAAGTTCGCTTTGTAAATGAATTATATGTAACTGATTTTTAATTGTACGTGAGCAAGAGGAACAGCTTTCACTTTTGTTTTCATAGATTTTAGCTGCATCTAGATATTCACACAACAAGAGGAACAGCTTTCACTTTTGTTTTCATAGATTTTAGCTGCATCTAGATATT